TATTTTTTTGTTATAGACCCCAATTTATAATTTTACACTTACATTTTTATAACTTTTCAAACCAATTTTATTACTTTTTACCGCTTACGTTGTTGGACCAAAGATAAAGAAACGTGACTTTTTATTTTGATTTCCAAAACACACATAAAAGGACAAATCTTATCGTCCATCTACGAATTTTTTTTTTTTAAAACGAGTCCATCTGTAGGTTTGTTCTTTGCTATTTGACATGAAAAATGGGGTGGACATGTGAAGTTCCATTTCTACATAAATGATTCATGATCACACAGTGGAGTTACACAGAATCCATGGGAAGATTGCAAACAATTACAGATAATTCCAAATCAAGATATACCACAAAACACAGAGAGAGAGAGAGAGAGATTATTTGTGCTCTTGTCTCTACCTGTACTCATTGAAGCTTGGATGAGATGGCACATAGTTTTCATAACCTCTAATGAATTTTGTGGTTATCAATTTTGGATTTTGAATCTTTTCTTTATTTATTTATTTTTTCTTTTTCCACACCAACCGCTTTTGAGATTTGGAGGAAAATTAGAGTTTCATATGATTACATGAAATTCTCTTATTATCGTAATTCATGTAACATTTGCCTCGTTGTTTATTAGTAATAATCATTCTTTTAACATTAATAGATATAGATATTATCTTGCTTATTTATGTGTTTATAAATCATTTGTATTAATTGAATTACTTTAATCTTACAAACAAAAAAATTAATATAATTATATTAAATTTGCAAGACTTATTACATATTTTAAACTTAAAAAATGTTCAATATAATTTATTTATTTATTTGTATTTGTATTATCTTCTTATGGACTAAATACCTAGAGAAAATTTGTCACATTTCCAATGGATGGGATAAACGATTGAGTTGAAATTAGTTCATGAATTGAAAATTTCAATTTGAAAAACTATATTTGTGAGAATTTTTTTATTTTTTTTAACAACACAATAAAATATTTATAAGTTAAGGGAAAGCACCAATAAATTCTATATCCATATCTTACTAACCAATAAGTCTTCTAAATAATTTAATGAACCTAATAATTCTATTTGTATGAAAATCACAATATAGTCCTACAATTTATACTTGTGGATGGAAAATTCTATTTCTATATACTTGCTTAACTCAGTGTAAATTATTTTTCAGTGTGCATATTTATTAATTTAATTTTTGATTATTCTTCTCATTCTACACAGTTGATATTCCAATTATACCCTAAATCATATCTTGTACATACACCACCTAAACCCTCATTTCACACGTCTTTACTTCCTTCACCCATTTCAACACAACTATGACGATGCTTTAAAACTATAGATTACCCAGATGGGTTGTGTGTGAGTGATCTTCCGGTGTGAGTGATTTTTCGATCACACTGCCCAACTTAGTATTCAGCTGGAGAGAACTGGCAGAATAGATGACACCTAACTGACCTGCAACAGAAAGAGAAGATTCCGACGGTGGTTCGTCCACCCGGGGCACTCCGACGATCAAGTCAGTATATCTCTCAAAGATAATCAATAGTGCTAAACTCACTATTCAGAATATAAATTGCGTACCTTAGACCCATGGAGGTACCTCTCTTTTATAGCAAACTCAATCCTAGTCCCAATAGAAGCCTAGCTTCAATGGACTCTTGCTCAGTACTTATCCTGGACTCTCCAAGAGATAAAGATAAACTTCCGTAGAGCTTTATCCTTATCTATGTTAAAGTCTTTCGTTATTCTAGGACTCTTGTCCCTTATCCGCTTATCTCGAATTCCGATATCTTCGGAGATAACCTCGGCCTTGCCGAGATAAGCTCAGCATCATAACCTGGACACGTGGCACCTCAGCTGACACATCGGTGTCACCTTGGCCACGTGTTGGGACTCAAAAAATATATCCCGACTGCGCCTCGCCATAAGGGTTCTATTACCGCCCCGCGCCCTCGCAAATTCCTGAGTGATGGAAACCTTAACGGTACTGGTACTTCCTGCCAGTACATCGGCTTAAGCCAAGATCATCACTTTAGGCCGATATGTCTTCTTAAAGATCAAGATTTCCAAGAACTTCTTCATGCGCATGAGCTGTCATGCATAACAACTCGACCATTTTTAGACACGCGTCTTTTTCTTACTGGATCGTACCTGATACACGTCTGTAAATCGAATCATTCTCACGTGTGCCGTCTGGCGCATACATTCTTCTAAGCACATTTATGACCTTTTTGCTGCCGTTTCTGTTTTATCAAAACTTCTTTCTTTCCCCTGTCTTTTCACTTTTCATTGTTTCTGAAGTTCTCTCTCTCTCTCTAGCTTTCCATCTCTTCCATCGTTCCAAGCTTTCAAGCTCTACTACCACCGTTGTCCTCCTCTTTCGGCGAGACGCTTGCTATTCTTCTCCGCTGCTACCGTTCATCTGACTTCGGCGAACTCAACACCGGCCTTCCTCTTTATAGTGAGCCATTGTTTCTCCTGGTTTCAGTTTCTTATTACCTTACTGAACTTTCCGTTTTACCTCTTGTCTTTGCAATCTTGTTCATACTTCTGATATTTCATCTTGCATTTTGTATTCCACCATATATTTGTTTGCTTCATGATTCTATTTTTACCCAAATCATCTTCTTGAATATACACTGTTCACACACCAGTTGATTTCTGCCACTGTTCTTGGCCTGATACCCTTTTGTTCTTTCAATGTTCTTGACAATCCATCTTTGTTCTTGATTCTGAAGCACATCCCTGTTTTTCTATTTTTTCAGATATGTGCATCCAATCTTCATTTCCATAGATCTAGGATTGGGATTTGCCTGTAGAACCCTTGATTTTTAGGAATAACTGAAACTATTTCCACAAACTCTTACCCAGCACATAATTTTGGTTTTTGCCGAGGTCCTAATAACCCTTCTAAAATACCTTTATGAAATCCAACCCCTTGAGTTAAGCCGATATCATGGGTATGTGGAAGCATAGGGTAGACACCCCGACAAAATTAGAATACTTTAGGCGAGAGTTTTCCATTCCTGCTGACGTCCATCTGAGGTTGGCTGGGGATGATGACTCTATCATGCCCGATGTAAACCTCATGTCTTTCCTAGTAATGGCGTTTATTAAGTGTGGACTTAGGTTTCCACTTGACCCTTTCTTCCGTGAAATCCTCCACTTCTATAGGTTGAACCCAATGCAACTTGCAATCAATTCGTACCGAGTTATTAATGGTACCATAGCCTTAGCCAAACAAGAGAATGTTAGGATTACTCTTGCCGACTTCCAGTTCTGTTATACCATGTGTTGCCTGAAATCAGAAAAGGCCACATCTATTACCTCAAGCCGAGGTCTACGGAATACAAAATTGTTGCCAACCTCCCTGACTCCAACAAGGGAACGGGGGATGATTACTTCATCGTTTCGGGTAATTGGGAGTTTCAGCCAAACGATGACCTCTATCTTTATCCCCTAAGTCAAATAGTTTTCGAGGAAAGAGCTAGTAAGGGCCACCATTCACAATTTTTCTTGCATTCTTGCATAAAGTTTTCAACATTCTGCTCTAATGTCTATACTTTTTTCTTTTTTGCAGTTCTCCCTCAGCCACCAAAGGACTTCCGTCAGTCTTTATTTCCCAGCAAAGACTTGAAGAAACTACTGAATTTGCCAATCCACAAGCGGAAAGCCCCTCTGCTTCTCAACTTCATCCCGACGTATAAGTCGGCTCTTCCCGACGTACCAAAGAAGAAGAAGAAAAGCCTTTCTCCACCTTCTGCCACAATTCCACAAGTCGCGTCCACATCTCGGACAGACCAAGGTTCAACCTTTGATCCAGCTGAGCAGCCGTCAACCTCGGCTCCATACCTGATCCCGATATCCCAACGACAACGCTGGCGACGAACCATTTTTTCTACTGAGATGGGTCGTCAAAAAGCTGTTGCAAAAGATCTCCTGGCCAGCATCCCATCAACCGTTGATGCTCTACCAGCGCAAACCCAGCCTCCACCAAAACAAAAAAGAATTAAAAAGGCTCAACCAAAGGCCAAGGTGACTCAGGTTAACACTGAGGACATTTTGCCTATCTCCAAACTGGCTGAAAGTGACAAGTCTCAGCCTACCGTGGAGAAGAGGCGTGCCGAGGCCCAACCATCCGATTTTCCGAAATCAAAGAGGCCGAGGTCATCCTCTGCAACCACCTCGGGGTCCAAAAAACATGATGCCTCCTGGGCCCCCAAAATCACTCTGGAAGATAAGCCAGTTATGGCCAATGATAGCACTGATGACATCAACGTCGGCGTAGCCCTCTGCACTACTCTGCTTCTCCCCGGCGATCTCGACCGAAACGCCAAGTTAAGCGAGTATGAAAACTACGCTCTGATGCTTCAACGCTTCGTTTAAGTAAGTGTCTTTATCTGACAACTTTTTCTTTATTTCTTTCTGTTCATTCCATACTTGTAATTTCTTCTAACAACTTCTGTTCTGTTTACTTTCAGGCCATCCAGCATGCCCATTCCTTCTCAGTACAATCTTTTGAGAATCGGGAGAGGCTGGCCGAAATGAAGAGGGAGGTCTCCAGTTTTCAAAAGGCCAACAAAAGTTTGCAGTCAAAAATGAAAAAGTCGGAAGACCAGGCCGAGGCTGCCATTAAAGCCCAAAACGATGCCGAAGAAAAGACATAATCTATTGAGGCCATCAAGAAGGTGCTTGAGGCCGAAAAGAAAGATGCCGAGGATAAAACGGCCCAGGCCCAAAAAGAGCTGCAAGACGCTCTGGCCACTAAAGAGGCCGAAGTAAAGGAAGCCGATGAAAAGGGCTACAACGAGGGGGTGGCCGACGTCACGGCAGACTACGAAAAGCAGGTGAAGCAGGTATGCAACACGGGTTTTACCCTTGGCTGGATGACCTTGCTGAAAAGGCTTGATGTCCTCAGACTCCCCCCTCATGAATGCCGATGTCCTTCCTCTACCATTCCCCCCAACTCCAAGCCAACCCGTTGACGACGACTCTGAGTCCGAGGAGGAGGTTTTGGTGAAGAAGCCCAAAGAAGCTGCTGGGGCTAAGTCACCTACTCAAAATGAGGTTTTGGTGAGGAAGCCCAAAGAAACTGCTGGGGGCAAGTCACCTACCCAAAATGAGCAAGTCCTGGACTTGACTCAGGATGAGGAGGATGAGGAGGTTCCCAAGGATGTTGTGCCTAAAAAGGCGATATCAGACGTGCCAATTGCCAACAAGAGCCTTGATCAAACTTTGCAAGAAATTGATGCTGAGCGTGCGGCTGAGAAGGCCGCCGAGATGCCCTCCCAGCAGTCTTCCGAGATCCAATCCCAGCCTGCTTGTGATGCTGAAGAATCTTAGCCTTGTGTTTTTCTTTTCTTTTCTTGTACTTTGCTTCTCCTTTCAAAGTAATGTAAACTCTTTAAGTTGCCGACGTGCATTTTTATGAATACAACTCCCTTCTTTCTTGAATGTTTGCATTGCTTGTCTTCCTTTATTGTTTCTTGTATGTCTTTCATACTTAGAATAATTTTATGTATCTTCAAAAATGCTCTTTAGTCTTGTGCAACCTTCTCGAGGTGAAACACCTCGGTAATACAAACTGATGATTTATCTCGGCAGGTACCCAAGTACTTTTCTAAATATATCCTTGGTTTCATAAAATTTCAACAAGTGTTTTACCTTTCAACTTGTAAACTTTTCATAAGTTTCGACAAGTGTTAAACATTATCTCGGTTTAACTGCTACTTGTAAACTTTATAAGTTTCAACAAGTGTTAAATATCATTTCGGTTTAACTTCAACTTGTAAACTTTTCTCAAGTTTCAACAAGTGTTAAACATCATTTCGGTTTTAACTTCAACTTGTAAACTTTTCTCGAGTTTCAACAAGTGTTAAACATTATTTCTTCTCTCTGCCCCCTAATGTGAACCTAAGTTCCACTTGGGGTCTCATTATGCACGTATTCTGAAACAACGTTATGTGTCTTCATCAGTCACAAATATAGAAAATTTCTGCTAAAATTTTATTCATGATGTCGGCAAATAACAAGGAAAATCTAATGGTAGAAAAACATCAGATTATAAGTATTCCAAGGTCTTAGCAGCTCTTTGTCCTCACTATCTTCAAGCCGATATGCCCCGTTGCCCAATACCGAAATGTTTTTGTAGGGTCCTTCCCAGTTTGGGCCAAGCTTGCCCTACTTGGGATCCCTCTTGTTGCCGACAACTTTTCTCAAGACTAGGTCGCCGACTTGGAACTCCCTTAGGTTGACTCTTTTATTATAAGCTCTGGCAAGCTGCTGCTGGTAGGCTGCGAGCTGAATTGCAACTTTCTCTCTTCTTTCTTCTAGTAGATCTAGATCTCGGGTTAAGAGTACATCATTAGTCCCATTTTCTACTCCCTAGGTTTTGATCCCAGGGATGCCGACTTCAAGCGAAATGACAACTTCTGTGCCACAGGTCATGGCAAAGGGGGATTCCCCCATTGATCTTCTCGACGTAGTTCGATATGCCCAGAGCACATTTGGTAGTTCATCCACCCACTTTCCTTTTGCTGCTTGCAGCCTCTTTTTTATCCCATCTAGGATAACTTTGTTGGATGCTTCTGCTTGTCCATTGTTTTGAGGAAAGCTTGGGGTTGAAAAGTAGTTCTTGATCTTAAACTTTGCACAGAAGTTCTTGATTAGCTTGCTATCAAATTGTGTTCCATTATCAGCAACGATTGCTCTCGGAATCCCAAATCTGATGATGATGTTCCTCCATAAGAAGTTCTTCACGTCTACACCTCGGATCTTGGCTAGGGGCTCATCTTCTATCCACTTGGTGAAGTAATCTGTTGCTACTAGCAGGTACTTCCTTTGTCCAGTTGCTTGGGGTAGTTGCCCAACGAGATCCATGCCCCATTGGGCAAACGGCCAATGACTGGTTACTAGGTTTAGGTCTGCTGCAGGTTGGTGTATCAATGGTGCAAACCTTTGGCATTTTTCATATTTCTTCACATAGGCTTCTGCATCTTTCTGCATGTAGGGCCACCAATACCCCTGGGTAATGGCCCTGTGGGCAAGTGATCTGCCCCCAGTGTGGCTTCTACAGATTCCTTCATGTATTTCATATAAAAAATCTTTAACTTGTGATGGGTGTACACACCTTAAAAGGGGTCTAGTGAAAGATCTTCTGTAGAGATGTCCTTCTACTGTTAGACTGAATCTTGCCAACTTCAATATGATCTTGTGTCCTTGTGGTCATCTGCCAGCTTTCTTTCTTTCAGGAATGCAACAATTGCATTCATCCAGCTTGGTCCCTGTAGACACCCCATTTTTGACCGGCCTCAAGACTTGGACGTCACCGTTGGAACACTCGATGATCATCCATGCTTGTGTTCGTCTCGAGTTCCCGGAGGTCTCAGCTGCGCGCCTCACCTCAGGATCTCTCAACTCGACTTTTCGGTGTCTGGTTTTGCACCAAACACTTGTGTTTTTTGCCTTGAAAGGCAGGGAATGGCTTGTTGGCCATTCCCACACCCCACCGGCTGTCCCCTCACATCACCGGCCGTTTATTGGTACCACCGACAGTGGTTTCTTAAAACCAATGGCCGATCGGCACTATATTTTGCCGACTGGCACTTTGTTTTGGCCGGTGACCTTTTTTTTTGCTGGCCGGTGTGACCTTTTTTTAGCTTCTCTAAGAAGCTTGACCCTTTTTTTAGCTTCTCCAAGAAGCTTGAACCTTTTGACCCTTTGTCTAGCTTTCTCCAAGAAGCTTGACCCTTTTTAGCTTCTCTAAGAAGCTTGACCCTTTTTTTTTAGCTTCTCCAATAAACTTGAACCTTTTGACCCTTTGTCTAGCTTCTCCAAGAAGCTTGACCCCCTTTTTTTAGCTTCTCCAAGAAGCTTGAACCTTTTGACCCTTTGTCTAGCTTCTCCAAAAAGCTTGACCCTTTTTAACTTCTCCAAGAAGCTTGACCCTTTTTTTTAGCTTCTTGAAGAAGCTTGAACCTCTTGACCCCTTTGCCTAGCTTCTCCAAGAAGCTTGGCCCTTTTGCTCCAAGCTTCTAAGAGAAGCTTGGCCTTTTTGGTCAAAGCTTCTAAGAGAAGCTTTGCCCCCTTGGTTTCTCTATAAAAAGAGAGCCTCTCCTCCCCTTTAGAGGGTTAGAAAAATCAGATATATATGATATATATATCACTCCCTCTCTATATCTCCCTCTCTCTCTACATTTGTGTGGATTAGAGGGTCCAAAAGGGTCTAGTTCTTGGCCATTTGAACTACACCTCCTAGCACAACACTTCCATCATCACTTGGAGGTTCTTGGGTCTTGTTTTCAGAGGTTGAGGGTTGCATTTTTGGGTCTAGAGGCTGCTGTCCCCTTTTGGCTACAAAGGTAATCAATTTTCCCTCTTTATTCTCCGTTTTTACACACCCTTTTAGCCTATCTTGCTTTCAGATTTGGGCTTTGTGTATAACATAAAAAAGTTCTGTTTTTGTGTGTTTAAGATATTTCATTAATACCACTTTTGTGTTTGGGGTCGTTTACCCCCTCTTAGGTCTATGTTTGGCCCTATTTTATGCTATTTTTGGTGAGTTTCGGGACCACCTTGTTTGGGCTCCTCACCACTGAAATCTTGAGGATTTCAGTGGTGAGGATGGTGGTTTAAGGTCCTAGAAGGAGAGGGTCATCCCCTCTCCTTGTTGTCTCAAAAAGTGCCATTTTAGCCTCATGTGTGAGCACCATTTTTAAGTTCATGTTGGCCATGTCTTAAGTGTTATTTGTGCCTATTTTCCATGATATAGCACTGTTTTTACTTGGTTTAGACACACCATGCTTGCTTTGCATACTTGTCTGTAATGCCATGAAATTGCCTTAACATGTATCTAGCACTTAGACCGCTATGCTACTTATTTTGGCTTAGCTTTGTGAAGATTTTATGCATGTTTTAGTGTGCTTAAGTCTGTTTTTGGTCATTTGGGTCATCATGCTTTTCTTTGTATAGCTACATGCAATCTCCCTTGTAGGCCTTGAGTGTTGATCCCCCCAGCATGCTTTACTTGCTTTGTTTCAGTGGTTGGAACCATTTATCATGCCATTCAGACCTTATTACATGCTTGTATGCTTGCATTTGATGCTCCTTTATGCTTTAAGAGGTTGGTATCTTGCTCCATGTTTGGCCCTTTTGTATGCTTCCATATATAGGCCATTTAGATGCCTCTAGGTGTGCTTTGACCTTAATTTGCCTGATTTGGACTGTTTTGATTCACTTTGATCATTTGCTTCGTGTGTCATATGATCATAGTTAAGTCTTGGGCTTGGATGCATGCTTTGCTTGCATTGTAGGTTGATTGGCATCATCTTCTACATGTTTTTAAAGCTTATCAGTATTGCTAATGTGCCAATGTTTCCCCCTTTTGAGTGTGCTTGAAATGCTTCTATATGCTTAGGTATTCAACCATGTTTGCATGCATGTTTGTTGCTTAGGTACTTGCTCATGACATTTGTTGCATGTTTAATTGGTGTTGCATTTGGCATGCTTCTTGTTAAGTTTCCCTAACATGTTACATGCCTTGCATGTGTGCATGTTAAGATTACACTTTGCATGTTGCTAACTTGTATACTTGTCCTCATGTTCATGTTGCATACTTAGCCTCCATGCCTAGTTGCATTGCATAGAGCACACATGCTTTGTCTCTTGAAATTGAGTATGATAGAGGTTGGACTTTTAGTGTGTAATTGTTTTGCATGTCATTTGAAATCGAAATGCACAACTTGGTTTCTTGGCCATCACGCATTGAAATGCGCGATTGGTGGTCCGAGGGTCAAGCACCATCCTCCTTTGAGTCATAAACATGATAAGGAGTTGTGGGTGCAAACATTGCTTGAAATGCATTGCCATGCCATGTTTTCCCTCTGCTACTGTCAAAACAGATTCTGCAGAAATTTGGCCGACCGGCCATCCATCCGTGTCGATATCTCAATCACGAGGCCGGTGGTCATCTCCAATGGCCGGTGATGATCCCACTCAG